ATCTTCTTCTCTGTTCCCGACTTTTGCATTCCAGTCACCCATTATTATCAATGCATCTTGATTGCATGTTCGATCAATCTCCAATTGTAAAAGTTGGTAAAAATCTTCTATCTCCTCTTCCTTGACTCTGGTTGTTGGTGCATATATCTGAATGATAGTGGTATTCACTGGACTTCCTTGTATGCGTATGGATATTATCCTGTCACTGATAATATTGTACTTCAAGATGGATCTAGCAATGACTTTTTTTAACTATGAAAGCAACTCCATTTTCCCTCACCTTTTCATCTCCAGAGTAATATATAATATGATCGCCTGACTCAAAATGCCCCATGCCAGTCCATCTCATCTCACTGATGCCTAGTATGTCAATATTTATGCATTCCATATCTTCCTTAACAATATCTAATTTTCCTACATTAATGTTTCTCACATTCCATTTCCCAATCACTAGTGTCTGCTTACGACTGTTCCTCTTCCTTTGTATTTCTGTACTTGAAAACTCAACCTCATTTGCCCTTTCTTTTATCTACATGTGCTTTGTTGTACATAGGGTTTTCACAATTCAAAGGCATCAATTCTTCTTTGGCCTTCCTTATTCATTGGCCAACTTTCATAAGCATGTGAAACAATTAAAAATACATGACTTGGATCAAGCGTGTTTTAGTCTTTAATATTTACAATCTGTGTTCTTTAAAGAGATCTTTTGACAGCAAATTTGTCCAATGTTATAAATCTTTGCATGTTTAACTGCTGCTTAAATAGATGTTGATCGTGGATCTAAGTAAAATGAAATCAATGACAACATCAATCGTTCTACATTTATCACGATGCTGGTACTGGTTTAGTTGCGAGAGTTTTTGTTTTCTTTATGTCAAGGTTTAATCTTTACTGAAGCATATAGTGTTTATCTTCAGTAAACCTTCAAATCTTCTGTATTCACCAAGCAAGGTTGTGCCATTTGCATACTGCTGGTAGCTGATGGGTCTTCCTCCAATCCTAATGCCACATTCTTCTCCATATAGTTCAGTTTATGGAGTTACTTGATCAGCATACATATTGAATGACTCACCTACTGATTTATTGCCGTAAGTCAGAACTGACTCACAGCTGACCCTTCATTATGTTTCTAAGGGTGAGAGGATTGCTTTTACTCTTGGAGAGCCACAGTTGGATCCAAATTACATGGGTTTTGGGTTAGTAGTGAAACTTCCTGCCAACTATGTATGATGAAAGGATTCAACCACACCTTTATGGATTTTAAACCATGCAGTTGCTTCTTGTTCTTTTGGAAAGATTGTTACTTTGTTCATGAGCTGATTTTGTGTGAGTATAATGAAGTTGTTCTGGAATTCTTATTTCCCTCAACTTTATTCATAATGTACTATGATTCACATAGTCAAGTGTATTTGTATAGCCAATGAAACACAAATAAACATCTTTCTGGTATTCTTTGCTTTTGGCCATGATCTAACTGATATCAACATCAAATCTCTTATTTAACAGCCTTTTCTAAATCCAACTCTTGAAACTGACTCTACTTTCTAGAGGCAAATATGACATTCTAGTTACAGGACAGGCAACATTTCACGCTGAAATTACCAAAGTGAATCCTATTTTGACCAAATTTAAATGCAATACAGACTCGTCACTGGTTTGAGGATAAATATTCTAAATATCTTGAATAGAATTATTTGTGAAGTGCTTATGTGCAAATCCACACATGTGTGGGGATGAGATGTGTCTTTTTTTTTTAATAACCAAAACAACAAACAATGTAATATCAACAGAGGAAAAGTTATAAATAAAGGTAAAGAATACCTTGAAAGTAAATTGCTCATTGAAGACTGGATTAAGGGTCTTTCGGTGGACTTTTGTCTCGAATTTCTTCTTTTTGTCGGGCAGCAGGAAGACTTTCACGTAGGGATCGGATGTGCCTCCCATGTCTAAGGCGGGCAGTTCTGCAGCTTGGATGATGCCTACCAGCAGCTGTAATGAACAGCAGAAAATAACCAACACAGACACTGGTGGACATTTTGGAAAAGATTGATTTTCTTCCCCTCACTTTGCCTCCACAATGCTGCATATTGTGATTTCCCCCTCTTCCTGCTTTTTTAAACTTTTATTCTCCCATGAGTCTGAATACAGACAGCAAATGAAGCAAGCTCCAAAAACCCAATTATGACAGATGCAGGCTTTAGGAAGCCTGGTTTTAAGTACAAAAGAAGCTTTTAAAAGGTTGCTGATTACAGTTAAATTTGGAATTCATATCTGCAAAAGGGTGGCAATCAAATAACTTTCTAGTTGCTAAAAGCTCTCGTGCATTATTTTTCTTTCCCGGGCGTGATTTGTAAGTGGAAATAAATTGTTAAACAATCACAAGTCTGTAATTATAAAGCAGGAAATGTTCAGTCTACAACAAAGCCACAGGCAGGCTAAATAGAAATTTCTTAGAAATTGGGTAGCATTTAAAAAAATTTATAGAAATTGGGTAGCATTTTGATATAGAAAATAAGATCTTTAAGCTTCTTTCGTATTTGACTTTGACTTATTGGCTGGTTAATTTTTTTAAACTTCTAGTATCATTATGTACACCTATTTACCTTTTCTGTTTAAATATAGGGCATGAAGTCAAAGAAATAAAATGCATGCAATTCCAGTTTAAACAATGGTGAAATTATAGACATAGTTTTTAGTGTTAAATAACTAACTTTCTGCCTTACGCTCTCCCCTGACATATACAAGATACCTGTGCATTTCTGCAAGTCTCTTTTCTTGGTAATACATTCCTAAGACTTAAGATGAATGACTATCTATGCTTGGGTGTTAATGTTTTTTGCAAAGAAAAAAAAGAAAGACTTAGTAGATTATTCCAGATGCTTTGCCATCAGAGATTTTGTGTTAACAGGGCTGTTTGCATACATTTGGGAAAAAAGAGGCAGACTTTTTAATTTCTATTCAAGGCATATACTATTGAATAAATGCAGTCACACTATAGCTTTTCACATCAGAGGCTGGAAATTTGAGACTATATCTTTTTTTAATCCAGTAAAGTGTCAAAGTGTCAAAGCAATTTGTCCCCTTAAAGTTATCACACTTATTTTCTGTAAAACTGGTTCGGCATGGTCTTAAGTGCATTTAGGCTCATTAGCTCAAGGAGACCAACTACTTACTCATCTGAATGATTATGTTGTCTTTGTCTTATGCTTTGATTTGTGTGTGTGTGTGTCATCATATTACAGCCTCTATCTTTAGGAGTACTGCATTGTAGATAGCAAAATATAGAAAGTTAAAGAATAAATAGGTGTCAGACAGATAGATACAAGCAGAATTAGTTAAATATTGTCTCTTAATTGTTGTTAATTTGTGCTGGCAAGTTGAAACCCTCTCATAGCTGACTCTCCAGCAGATTCTCAGAAACTGTAAATCTCTTAATAGAAGGAGATTGCTCATCTTTCTCCTACAGAGAGACAGATGGATTTGAACTGCCTGCCTTTAGGATGGAGTGCAATTTCTTGCCAGAACTCCTTGATTAGGCATACTGACATACAGATTCTTTAGACTATCAATGTGAGCAAACAAGATTCTATTTCCAAGTAATGCTTTTATAACATACTTGCTTTTTGTCAGAGAAAGCACTTCATATAGCTTAAACTCTGTACACCTAGTTCATTTTAAAGATATTTGGTCCTTGTTAGAAAGGGATCTCTGGTGGCATAGTCCTTAGGGAATTGCATTGCTAATAGAACTCCCTGGTAATTTAAATTCACCTGAGGCTTTGTGAGAGAATGATGGGCAAGCTACACCCTAGAGATTTACAGCTTTGGAAATCCAATGGAAGTTATGAGTTTTGACTTGACAGCAATGAGTTAATTGTTGCCCATTGTTGTTAGAAGGCGAATTAATTTAAGGAGTAGATTACATTTCTTTCCATCATGATAGTGGCTTAATTAGAGTATTTGAAAGTACCTGCCCAGTTTTGCTAAGCAAACATGTACATTTGATTATAGTTTTACCTATGAAGTTTCTGAGAGTTTTCCCACCCTCAAAGGAATCATAAAATTAGTTGCAAACATTAAAAAAAAATCAATGCATAATTTTTGTTAATATTTGCATCATTCATGTATTTTAGACAGCCTTTCGTTTATATTATATTTTGTTCATTTTATAACTGTGGCAGTTTTCCCCCCTTTACAATCATCTTCCTAATAATTACTTTTGTGAGAGCAGGTAAGCCAGCAATTTCATGCCTCCAGATCCTCAGAGTAAAAGACCTCATTAAAATTGATACTTGCTGGAATGTGAGCAGGAAATTTGCCCTCAATAGATGGAAGGAAAAAAAGAAATTCAATGTTATTATTTATTTTCTCAAAATATTACAAAATACTCCTTATGGTAATCAATGCCAATTTAGAAGTTTCAAAATTATCACTAACCAGATTGAGACATTACTGAGTTTCTACTGGGGAAAAAATGAAAATTCAGAATAAGCTAAGAAAAAATCTGCATGTATTTCCACAGGCAGGTTGAATTATCTGGAAAACTGTTATACATTAAGATATAGAAATTGATACTGGGTTTCTCTCATTCACTCACTTATTACCATTAAGTCAAAACTAAATTTTTGCTGACCCTGTTGGATTTCTGGGGCTGTAAATCAAAGAAGCAGAAACTGTCCCTCTTTCTCTCCTAGAGCCTCTGAGGGATTCAAACAATATCTTTCCTTAAATTATCTAATTAATATGAGATCTATAATTCCATATCTATAAATCTATACCTACAAATTAATTCTTTTTATGTAGCAAGCATATCTATGTATCCTCTGTGACGAATCTTCTGAAAATTTTTGACAGTGAAGACCTTATTTGAATTTCCAACCCTAAATAAATCTTAGATTTCAGCTGCTTAGAGCTCTTGCAATGTTACTGACTTAGATTTTGGTGGTCAACGCTGAGCAATGATGTGTGATCCATTGCTCATTAACAAAGATTGAACTAGTATTAACTAACTTTATTTGGTCCTGAACAGTTCTTCTTTGTCCAAAAATGTGAATGAAGTAAATAAAAGTGGAAATTCAAAACTCCCTTTTAAAATCTATCCATATGTCCTCACGATTCTTAAGGCTCTCATCTTTAACTTAGCTGACCTCATAAACTCTTACTTTTTTTCCATTTGTTTAGCAAGTAAGAAGAGAGAGGATTATATCCTTCATGGTCCTAGATTCTAGAAGGCCTTTTTACGCAGGAACATTTTCTAACAGTCCTCTTGGAGCTCCCTTGATAACAGCCATTGGTAAAATGGGAGCTGATTCGCTCATTTATCTAGGTGACACTAGGAGACTTTTTGAGAAATTGAAGCAGGAATGTTTGTTTTATTACCTCCTAAGTCTCCTGTCACTTTTTGGGCATCAGGTGCAGGCACTGGAAATCAAGTTGCTGGTGTTTCTGCTTTTCTAGTCTCTCGACCTTATTAGATTCTCTTCCTTATTAGCTTTAGGCCCTTCATTTTGTATCATGATGTCATTCATATACTACAGCATTCTTGCCTCAAAAATTCACAGAGCATAGTCAATTATTAAAGCACGGGATTGTGGATCAATTTGATATCTTTTTAAAACTTTGCTTTGGATGGGGATCAATTTAAAGACGCCTAACGCTGCATGGATTTAAATCCGTGAAGTCTAGGAAGACTGTGCCAAGTTGGGATGGAGGGTTCCTGTGGAGGCGAGGCTCTGGCTGGGAGCACTCAGAAGCAGGCTTCGAGTTCATTTGTATTCCGCCTGCCTGCTGTAAATGCCATAAGTAGATGTAATCGGCTGAACACTGTGAATTCTAATTACCAGAAGTTAAATTAGCAAGTAGGGGACTGCCTGTACTTAGAAATTATTTCATCAATAGCTTTGATAATTGCATTTTCCCCCTCACAGCAAACGAAATGTTTTAAGAAGTATCTTGCTTCAATTTCTCCTTGCTAATTTCAGAAAATGTAATGGAATTAGAAGACATTCCCCCCCCCGCTCTGACCTGGTTATTCTGGAAATCATAATCCAGTGAATACTGGAGTTTCCCTAGCTTCTCCTCTTCTTTGGGTTCCTCTTTTTCTTCCCCATCAGTCAAACCGGTCTCAGCATCATCATCCTTAAGAGCCTGTATGAGTAGAAAACACGGAGCATGTGTGAATTCAAGAGAATTTCCCTCAAAACCAAAATTAAGCAGGAACCATAGTTATTATACCCCCAAGCTGTTCAAAGCAAGCACTAAGATGCCAGAAATCTCAGTTTGTCTGACACACATTCACATTTGCTGCTTACATATTTTTTTTAAATTCCATTTGTGCAAGGAATTTTGCCCCTAGTCAGCCAGCCATGGAAGCAATGGAAGAAGCCCCTCTGAATATTGCAAGCCAAAACTGTAACCTTACTGCAAAGAAAACCTCAACTTGGCCTTCAATTTGGTTGTGATGAAACTGGTGGGTTTTTTTCTTTTCTTTTTCAGAGTAAACTGTGATAAACATGCTATTAACCAGGCCAGGTTTCACATTCATTTAGTTTCAAGAGATGCTAAGCATCAAATAAAATGCTATTTTTACATGCAGTGGAGTCATTTATATGGATGCATGACTTTTTGTTTCCTTATTTGATATGAAAAGACCTGACTAATTGTCAGAAAATTTTTGTTTCCTAAGCTCACAGACATATTTGTAATGGTTATGGAAAAAGAGTAAAAACATGCCACCAGCAAATGCATATTTAGATAAAAGTTCAACTCACTTCCGGTTTGAGTTTACCATTTCATTTTCATAACAGCTTCACCAAAAAAAAGCTAGGCTGAATTAAATTGATGTAAGGTCTGTTTGGTATCAAAATATCAGAAGAGTTGTTTACAAATGTTCATATTGGTATGAAAACTCCTTTTGCTCCCAAGAGCAAATATTGTGGTAGTATTCTCCTTTCTTGGAATATTCTGACCAATTGAACATTCTTTAAGACTAAAAACTTAAGTGTGCACTAGAAAGCTCATTATGTCAGTGAATACATCTAAATCCTCTTGATTAAAAATACCCCAACAAAATATATTGAATGCATTTTCTTACAAATGCACAATTCTTGCTAAAAATGAAAGGTTATAAATCTTAAGAGCTTTGGTTTGGTTTTTTTTTTTTTAGAAATATGCATATGTATTGCTTGAGACAGAAAATGTTAGGAATAAATAAATACTAATTTGCAAAAATTAAAATGATGAAAGTTCTACTTGCACAATCATAAATGAGCTTTAGAATGTAAAGATTTTTGGTTATTTTTCTTCTTGGAACTTCCTATTCATCTTTTGCTCATTCTTCTATTGTGTATTTTATCTTTTTCTTATTGTTTTGTAAAAAACCCCTCATATTTTTGTGATCTTAGTCCTTCTGTAATTGTTAGATACATGGCAAATCTTATCTCCTAGCATTTGATTATATCATTCTCATTTTTTTTTTCTTTATACAAAGAGGTATAAGTAGATTTATGTCTCTGAAAAAGGGAAGGACATATTAATTGCTGTCAGCTCTCAAGTTGAATCTAAAGACTCTAATAAAATTCAAATGCAAGTATGAGCATAATGGTGTCAATATCAGATACCAGCTTTTCTTATACGCCCTCACCCCAACACCTATACTACACGTAATTGATCTTTTCTTCCTGCTGTCCCTTTTCCACAGGACAAAGCTTTTCTCTTCACTCACTCACTTCCTAATGGCCTTGCAAAATGACACTTTTAGTTCCTATCATTTTATGATTTTCGAATTTGGCTCCCCCCTACTAATGCCACTTTGATCCAAAGACTCTGAGATTTGTTTGTGTCCCAGACACAAGCACATGAGATGATCATATAGAATGAGAACTGAGCTGTGGTCAGAGGTACACTCCATTTTAGGCTTCATAAAATTCCTCAGGAGAGCACAGGGTGCTTGGAAAATTGAAAATTTGGCATTATTAGATTTGTGTAGAAACTCTTTCCAATTTGGTTATCCACACATCATTTAATTTGAAAAGTTTAACATATACTTGGATGTGTCAGTGGATATTAAAGTGTTGAATTACTGATAGAGGCAGGGAACAATAGAATTTTAATAATCTTTTACATTAATCTTTTTTACATGATGGGGGGGGGTCGCTAGAGGGAACGTGAGCTACTGAAGTGACAAGAAAAGGACTTCCTGAGTTTAGAGAACTTCAGGCAGTGGAGTCACTTTCAAACCCTTACCTCAAACCTCAAACTCATTGCTATCAAGTTGATTCTGTTTCACAGTGACCCTCCATGTGCCACAGAGCATTGCAAAGCCTGAGCTTTGGTAGCTTAGGCCTGTTAGGTTAGTGGACTTACAGAAGAAATCAGAGGGAACAAGAGAAAGCTTAATGTAGCTTTATTTAATAGCAAGGCCACACTGAGAGTTATGCCACTAACACAACGGTGGTATCTCTCTGACCATTTGAATCTACCAAGTGGTTAAGAGGGAGAAAGATGGGCAGTCTTCTCCCACGTGATTTATAGCCTCAGAAATCAAATGGAGGGCCAGCTATGAGCTGGTTGTGACTTGATGACAGTGAGTTTACTGAGAATCTTTTATGCAAGCCGACTGCCATGTCTTTCTGCTGAGCAGCGTGGGGGGGTTGGAACATTTTGACAGTTGAACACTTAACCACTTTGCCCCTTGGGTTCTTTAACTGTGTTTAAGTCTTGGATACTATCATGAGCTTAGAAAATTGCAGTGTACGTAAATTTTCTCCTAGTAAGATTTAAGTTTTCTTAATAATAGAAAACTATTTAAAGCACATTTCCATCTGAAAAAAAAAACTTTGTACATAAGACTAGCCTAAAAATATAGAAAATTTCCTGAATAAAATTCTTTTTTTTTAAAAGTCTCTTTCAGAGCTGATAATTTATATATTATGCTTCAGTCCAGTGGAATTGGAAATAGCCAAGATATTAAATCTCCTTCTCCCTAGGTGGTTTTTGCCCTAATAAAAGGTGCAGGGCCTTCTCTACAATTATTCTGCATGAAATAGGGCTGTATTTTTGGTAATGTCTCTCTGCCATTGTTCATCACTGAGGTATTTCAGCCTACTCTTTTCCCAAAGGCTGAGTTTAAGCAAGACATTTTCTGCAGCATCACATTAAACTCGGACCCATTAAATCAGTAGCTATTATAATATCTTGAGAGCAACATTTTTCTGTCTGTGGAACAGAACATGGAAGGAGTTTGTGAGTCCAGAAGTTCTGAGAGTTTGATGAATTGTAGTAGAAACAGCTGAGTCCTGACCATTATTAGATCTAATTTCAAATGTAAAAGATTTTTTTGTGCACATGCCTGCTTTGACACCCAAATCATGCTTTATTTTAAGGCGTCAGAATGAGCATTTGCGCACATTAAGCTATGCTGCTCAGAGATGGATTTTATAAAGCACGCAAAAGACGGGAACACGAGGATTGTGCTCATCAATTTAGAGCTTGAGCTTTCTAGTACTCCTCAATTTAACGTCTGCTGGTGATGTTTACAATGAGAATGCGGTAGCATTGAAAAATCAATTTAGTTCAGCCTCTTGATGTGTGTCAGAATGGTCCACCCTCAGCTCTGGAGCCCCCGCTGCCAGGCCACTAAAACGGATCCGAGCGTTGACTAGGAAGGTCTAAGGATCAGAGAAACCTACCGCAAGAGACAGTTCCAGCACAGTCATGAGACACAACACAGATAAGGAGGACATAGAAGGAAGAAATAAAAATTAAAGTATCCACAGACATCAGTGAAAACCATGGAGAAATGACCTTTACAGTGCTATGACCTCATACGCTGATATTTTTCTCCCCTTGCATTTTTAATAGTCTCAAGTTTTAAGGCATAATAATTTATGTAAATATACATCTTATTTCATTAGTTAAAGAAATACACTATCTGTAGTTACTGTTAGTTGACATCACGGCATGCTTGAAAATTCTTCCTTTGTTATAAAATCTTAACATATAGACATATGGCTGTGGCACCAAAATTTGAATTACTGTGAGTTCTTACAAGCTAGTGATACTAATTTATTGGATTACCCAAGAGCTTATTTTACATCTTTCACCTCTTCGCTTTTATAAATGAGAGGCATATAATATCTATATTTTTTCCCACACTCACATTAATATTTTACTTAAAGTGTTTTAAAAAAGATAATTGTATAAGAAAAGTTCTCCATTGTGTTTTGCTAATTTGAATTTGGATGATCATCTGATACAAAGCTTTAAAATCTCACATTCTATTTTGATTCTTAATCCTTCTTCATAAAATTATGGAAATAATTTTTGCTATGAAAAGTAGCATCAATTGCTGTGCAATTGATTAATGGGGCCTATTTAAATTTAAATATGCCCAAATTTTATCCCATTATGTACATTTACTTGCTTATAATTTATAAGATTTAACTAAAGTTTTATGTAGGTCCAGTGATCTATTTAAAATTATTATGAGTAGCTTTTCGAGTGGTTGAAATCATAAATGTTTTATATACCAGTCAATTGTTATAAACTCATCAATATCTTTGTTAGGTGTGTTTTTGTTTCTGCTCTCCCTGCATCCCTAACCATCCTCACCTAACAGAATGATGAGCAGTGAAAAATTTACCACCACTAACATAGTAATTACTCTTTCAGTATTGGTCATTTATCCAGGTCATAACAGGGGTAGTAAACACCACTGCTATGCTGTAAATTGCACTATTACATCATACAGAACATATTGCACAGATAAAAATAGAAATATTTACATATATCCTAAGGGAAAAAAATACGGTACTTATCATCCAACATTATTTAGATTTTTAATTTTTATTCCTTGACACAAAGCACATTGGAATTTCATTGTGGTCATGAAAATGATAGTATTGTATTTCCAGATTATTGTTCTCACAGATGCTGCTGAAATTAACATTTATTATTCCATTTATGAAGGAAATTATTTTTGTATTTAATCTCCCATAAATTGCTTAAAGAAGTCTTGCTAGCTATGGAAAAAAATGCTAGAATAAAGCAAGGCATGATTTAAAATTTCAGTTGCTACTTAAATTAATTGAAGAAAAATTCCTTATGAGGCATCTGTACTGAATGTTTGTGTGTGGACTCCTAAGACTGTATTAAGAACAGTCAGAAAAATTTAACCCTTGTTCCCCTGAGCTCAGGATAAAACTCTCTTGTGGGCGATTAGAGGCATTACATCCATTCCATAGCTTTGAAACAAAACAAAAGGGCAAGGAGTGAAAAAAATGAGTCTTGTGAAATTGTCAATAGATCCTACAATATCTTTGAGAAAAGGATTTAAAATTAAAGTTGAAAAGAGGGATTAATGCTCTGAATGTGTAGTTAACTGTGAAACTATGCAAATGACCAAACATGCTTGTTGCAACACATGATTAAATTGTTCATAAAATTAAGTGGCAGATTCACATATTTAAGAATTCAATAATAGTAATTAGTACTAAAAGAGGAATTAAAAGCTGCCTCTGTGTTGGTATTTGGGAAGACACAATTTTTTAGTTATTTGATGGGAACTTTGATAATTGAAAATGTTTATATTTTATTTCATATAAATTAAATGTTTCTTAGAAATAAGCAGCATGAATAAGATTCTAAAACTAAATGAAGAGGCATTTAACCACTATCATTATAATAAACATTATCCTGAATCAAATCATCCAGTTGATTTAGTAAAAATTCACAGCATCATAAAGGACAACCAAATAGCGTCTTTAAACTTTGGAAGCTAGCCCAGTCAGACAGATTCTGTAGCCAGTGTTCTGAAATTAATTGTCCCTTAGTGTGGAAGTAGGAACTTTGCCTTAAATTTTCCTGACTCTAGGACCAACTCATATTTTTCTCTCCTGTCTCTTGTATAACTCTTTATTCCTGAGAGCTCATTAATGGAGTTGGACATGTGATAAAGGTAGCTTTCATCAAGTATGGTGAACAGTTATAAACTTAATTTAAAAGTGACTGTGAATAGTAAAACAATATGAAATATCTCTTGCCCAAGATCTCATTCTTCTCAATCTCTAAACTAATTAATACTGGCTAACCAGACATAATAAAAATAATCATTCTAATATGCTGGCTACATCAAGATTCCCCCTTTTGATCAAGATGGTCAGGAAACTGTAAAGTGCTAACTTACTCTACCATTATATTTAAGGAGTGTAAATAAAGACTAAAAGTATTGCAACACATCCATATGACAATGACATGTATCCAGGAATTGTTTCTACAGGTATCTGGGATAAAATAATAAAATTATGTATTCATTTTAAACAAAATAATTGTAGAAGAAATTCAAATGACCACATTACCTGATCTTTCATAGTCTTCCCTAAGTCTTTTACATCTTTCATGTTAATGGCATTCTTTCCTCCCTTTTCCTTTCCCTTCTTCTTGTTTTTCTTTTTGAACAAACATTTCTTACAGATACAAAAGCAGCAGGTCAGGACTAAAAGCACTGCAACTATGGCTATCGCAATTAAGGCCCACGGTGGCACTGAAAAGAAAAAAAATAATATCGAGTATTAATCGTACTTACATACAGAGAACATTTTAATCTCATTGGCAGTGATGATATTTATTCATATTTAGTGAACACTCATTAGACTTCAGGCATACTGGTCAGCATTACTTAAGCCACATAATTTTCTGACTAGGTGGTTGTTTCTATTCTTTTCTCTTTTTTTCTGCCATGTATCTCAAATGTCACTTCCTTTCTATTTCTTCCTTTAATTCTGAGTTAGTTTTCTATGATTCAGAGCACAGTTCTTGAATATGATCTTGAGTCTTGAATTCATCATTTACTAGTTGTGTGCCGTTGGGCAAATCACCTAATCTCTTTACATCTCAGTTTTTTCTCCCATCTAGAAAGTAGATTTAAATTTGCAGGTGCCTCATTTCCATACCTGATTCAAACCATACTCTTCCCTATCACCTGCTATGCATTTGAAAGCTGGACAATGAATAAAGAGGACAGAAGAAGAATTGAATTGAGCCTTTGAGCTGTGGTGATGGAGAAGAGTGCTTAATGTCCTATGGGCTGTCAAAAGAACAAACAGATTGTGTTGGAGAAAGTACAAACACAGTGCTCCTCAGGCACAAGGAAGGGGAAGCTCAATCTCACATACTTTGGGCATATTTTTAAAAGAGGCTATTCCTTGGAAAGGGACATCATGCGTGGAAAGGTGGACGGTCAGTGAAAGAGAAGGAGGCCCTCAACAAGAAGGACTGATAGAATGTTTGTGACAATGTGCTCAAGTGCGTTGGAGATAATGATGACATAGGCAGGGATCTGTTGTTTATAGGGTCACTATGAATTGTATTCAGCTGGACGGCACTTGACAAGAAGAACATTTGTCATGTCAAGAAGCTGTGCTGCCATCCTTAAAGTACACATTTTGAGGCTCTACGGGAGAAGGATGTTCAATCTCCTCCTGTGCGATTAACTGCCTCTGAAGACCTGCCGAAGGGTCAGCTATGGGTCAGTTCCAACACTATGGTACACAACACCAACAACAATAACAATAACAATAACAATAACAATAACAATAACAATAACAATAACAATAACATATGCTTAACACATTCTAGCCACTAATACATACTTATCAAATACAAGGTATTTTATTAATGTGCTCTGGTCAGTGTAGAGAAGCAGACATTAATCAAATAGCCTAAAAAACAAAAGTAAAATCATAAAAGTAGTAATGTTTGGAAGTACTTGGTACTTCAAAGATGTGTGATTGTAATTTCCTATGTGCTACAATTTCTCTAGTGCCAGCTTGTATGTCTGGTAGTTCTCTGTCAATGTATTGTTCTAGTAATTTTTTTTTTTTAATTTTCAGCAGGAGTTTGCTTGTGTGTTATATTAGTGATATTGTTAGATAATCCTCACACTCTGTCAAAATATAGAGGTAAATGCACTGTTTGTAGTTCAGCCAAAATGCTAAAGGAATTGAGACAAGAGATGACTTTTGTTTGACAAGGAAGGCTTCAGCCTTGTAATACTAGTTAACAAAAATAAAGTCAGTAAAAATTAATATACTCAAATATTTGATCTTTCAATTAAAACTGTCCATCCACCAAAAAGAATTGTCTTTTATTTTCCCTCTCTTATATTTTGTGCTAAAAAACCCCAAGGTCTCATCATGAAAACATTAGGACTCCACTTTAACTGGGAAGGAATTATTCATGAAACAAATCACAGCTATTGAGATTAATCAGAAGAAGTAATTAGATTTGCCTGTTAAAAAGAAATGGGCACTGAAGTAAGAAGCAGCACTTATTTTCTTCTAGCCACACAAACATGATTAGAACCATCACTAGAATCAATGGTTATGGAGCATCAACTCAGAAGGACGTTGATAAGTGAAGATACTTAAAAATTAACCTCTGCTTGATTATTGTGCTGAGAGAAACAACTCCGCCACATAAGGACACACAGCCCATGAGACGGCTGTTTTAAAAATAGGATAACTGAGCAAGGATGAAAGGGGAAGAGAGAAGGAGAAGCAGAAGGGAAGAGGGGGAAAATCACTAGGATAGCAGAGATTAATGCATGGGCTGGATGGGTGAAGGGACAGGAGCGATTCCATAGGACTTGATAAGAAGGGGTGATACTAGGCTAGATCAATAGTAATTAATTATATAAAATACAATGTATGTGAATGATTGTAAGCAAACCAGTTATATATATATAAAAAAATAACAAAACCCAAAAAACCCTCTCCTTAAAATTGAGAAAATCCACTCTCTCTGCTCTCCTCCAGCATTTGGCTTCATAAGGTAGATTACTTACTATGCATATCATTCTATACTATAATTAGAGGCTAACTGTTGATCTAAATTCTTAAGAAATTATAACTTAGAAAATTGTGTTTTCGGTCCGAGAAATGTATGCAAGAAAGTTAACATCCAAAAGCTTGGTTTCTTATAGTCCTCTGATCTAATGAAGCAACTATTTTAAAAGCAAACATTCAAGTAAAGTCCTGGTGGTGCAGTTGTTAAAGTGTTTTATTGCTTACTGGAAGGTTAGAGGTCTGATAGGTGGTAGCTGTACCCCACAATGCCTTATAACAGAAAGAAAAAAGACAGGGTGAAATGCTTTTTTAAAGGTTAATTCATAGCCATCAAGTCAACTCCAACTCACAGTGACTCATTTGTATAGAGCAGAATTGTCCCATAGCGTTTCCAAGGCTGTATATTTTTACTGAAGCAGACTGCCACATCTGTCTCCAGAGGAGATACTAGGAGATTTGAATCACTAATTAGAAGCTAACCACTTTGTCACCAGGATGGCTCCCAGTTTGTACTTGTTGCTGTGTGCCATTGAGTCACCAACAACTCATAGGACCCTAACACTAGCTCTGAAGTCTGCCCTATCCTGAGCCAGACTCACTGACTACAATAAACCTAATCCCATTGCCCCACTTACCATGTCAACCCATTTAATCCAGAGACTTCCTCTCCACCCTTCCAAGAATGATGTCTTTCTCCAAGGACCAGTCTCTCCTGGCCATGTACAAATAGAATGTGAGATGGTGCTTCAAAATCCTTGCCTCCAAGGAGAAACTTGGTTTCACCCTTTCCAAGACAGACCTATTTGTTTTCCTGGTAGTCAACTGTATGTTCAATATTCTTCTCCAGCACCACAATTCAAAGGTATCAGTTTTTCTGTTATCCTTAGTCATTGTCCAGCTCTCTGATGCACAGCAAGTAATTGCGAAGACCATGGCCTGGATCAGGTTCACCTTAGTCTCTAGACTGACATTATTCTTTAGTGCTTTGGAAGAGACCTGACGCCAGACTTTCCCAAGCCAATTCATCTTTTGATTTCCTGATTGCTGGTGTCAAGAGTGTTGATTGTGGAGCCAAACAGGCTGAAATTGTTAACATCCATCTCTTCTCCATCCATCATGGTGTTGCCAATTTGCCCAGTGGTGAGGATCCTTGTCTTCTTGATGTTAAGCTTCAATCCATTGAAGACTACTGTCCTTGACCTTCTGCAGCAAATATTTCAGGTGCTCCTCAGTTTCAGCAAACAAGGTTGTATCCTCTGCATAATGCAGGTTGTTGATGAGTCTTTCTCCAGTTCTGATGCCATATTACTCTTCATAAAGTTCAGCCTCCTGAATCATCTGATTCACACACAGATTGAAAAGATATGGAGACAGGATGCATTCCAGATGCATCCTCTTTCTTAATTTTGAACCATCCAGTGTCTCCTTCCTCTGTTCTGATGACTGCTTCCTGGTCCAAGTATAGGTGTCACGTAAGCACAATCAAGTGTTCTGGGATCCCCATTGCTCTCATGGTTAGCCACAATTTATTGTCAAAATGTCTTTGCACAATTTGCACAATTACAAAGTCAAATGTCTTTCCATAGTCAATGAAACACAGACTGGTTTCCTTTAGCACTCCTTGCTTTTCCTCACAGAGTTTCCTCTGGTACTCTTTGTTTTCAATCAAGATCCTTCTGACATTGGCTATAATGTCTCTAGTGCCATGGCATATAAGAAAGTCCAGTGAATATCATTATCATTCAAGTATATGTACCAACAACCGGAGCAAGAGTGAAAGAGAAGGAAATATACGATTTCTATCAACATTTGTGGTCAGAAATCATTTGGACATACACTAAAGATCCATTAATAATAATGAGTGACTGGAATTCAAAAGCTGGAAACAGGGAAGAAGGATCAGTAGTCAGAAAACATTGACTTGGTGACAGAAATGAGGCTGGAGACAGAATGATAGAATTCTGTAAAATAAAGGATATATTCATTGCAAATACCTTTTACAAGAAACATAAACACATACTATACACATGGATTTCACCTGATGGTATACACAGGAATCAGAATGATTACATCTGTGCAAAGAATCACTGGAGAAGCTCAGTATCAGCTGTGAAAACTAGGCCCAACGCTGACTGTGGAACAGACCATCAACACCTCATATGCAAGTTCAGACTAAAGATAAAGAAGGTTAAATCAAATCCACAGGTGCCAAAATTTGACCTTGAGTCTATTCCAATTGAATTTCAAAACCATCTCAGGAACTGGTTTGAGGCCTTGAACACTAATGAAAGAAACTAGACGAGTTATGGGAAGATATCACGAATATCATCCAAGAAGAATGCAAAAGGTCATTACAAAGACAGAGAAGGAAGAAAATACTGAGATGGATGTCAGAAGTGAGATGTCTAGTGAATATTTCACAAGTGCCTGTAAAAATTACAGCCAGAAAACCCTATGTGTCAGTTGTACCTCATCGTACAGGGTTACTAGGAGTGGATTGATTCAATGGCACACAATGACAAATTAGGATTTATGCTACTAATGACATCATGATAATATGGCATTTAAAATCTACTTCTGTTTAAAAAAATCCAAGCGACCAATCAGCTTACACATAGTTGTTAACAAAACAAAAAATGACCCATCAGTTTGCACCCAACTTTCAACTAAATCAAGAGAACCCACCCTCCAAAATCCA